CCGGCGGCTGGAGCGCTGTCTGTCTCGGCTGCTGCTCTGGGCCAGCCTGGGGCTGCTGCTCGTCTTTCTCGGCATCCTCTGGGTGAAGATGGGCAAGCCCTCGGCGCCGCAGGAGGCGGAGGACAACAGTACGTCCCGGGCCTGCGCAGGGGAGGGCTGGCCTCTCACTTTCCTCCTTCCAGCGTCTGCAGCACTTTGGGCTCCACTTTATCTTCTCCTCTGCTTCCTCTCCCCGCTAGTGTCTCCCTTTCAGCCACTGCTAGGGGCAGGTTGAGTTCTTCCACAGCCTCTGGAGGAGAGAGAGCTACAGGCCTACTCTTGACAGACAGGCCCACTCTTTGCCCCTCGGTTTTCTTCCCTTTTCACCTCCTGCTCATTCACACTTGACAGCCCCTTTGAAGGCTCCAGAGATTTCCCCGGCGCCTGGGAGTGCCTGGTTGTGCTCTGAACTTTGTAGCGCCAAAAAAAAAAAAAAAAGCCTTCATCTGTCCAAAGGATTCTAGCCCTGCCTGTGGCACAGGTGTGAGAGAGTCTTAGAGCTAAAACTGATCCTACCAATGGGGTGCTTAATGCTGTGCTGGGAGAGGGCCTGTGAGACAGGCAGCTTACCAGACATCTCTGCCCACACTCAGTTATATGACTCCACATCCCTGGAAGGGTGCAGGAGACAGTCGAGGATTGGGGTTTCCAAAGGGATGCTGCCCGTTACCCTTGATTCTAACAGAAGAAGAAAAAACGTTTTCGTGATAGTTCCCTCCTCTGCTCTAGGGAATTGTATTTCAGGTCTCACGTTAGACAAGCATGCTACCACTGAGCTACACTCGCTAGCCAACTTCTGAAAATGATTTTGAAGCAGGGGCCTCCTAGGTTACCTAGGCTAGTCTTGAACTCACTTTGTGGTTCAGGATGGCTTTGAACCTATGATCTTGCCTTAACTTCCCCTAGCTGAGAAGCCAAGCCCAGATCATTTTGTAACAAATTTAGGTATAAAAGGACACTTGAGTTCTCTGGTTGCTAATATTCTTTGCAAAGCACAAAGATGGTTAATACAGTTGTCAGCCTTGGGTCAAGGTCACGTCTTCCCACGCAGAGCAGGAATGGCTGATTCACTGTGTTGGGTGTTTTGGTTAATGGCCGTTTGGGCTAACGCCCACGTGACTGCTCCACCACTGGAGCCGCCTAGAGATTAGCTGACCTGATGCCAGCGCACTGTGCTGGGCTGTGGCCATTCCGGACCTCACCTAGTGCTGTGCTGTGGCCATTCC